AAAAAAAAATTGCAACTACATATTTCACATATGAATCGATACATACCAAAAGTAATACGTTAATGAAAAAAAAAAAAAAAAAAAATCTAGAACACCAAAAAACCCCCCCTTTGGCAGTGTGTTTCGGCTCAAAAACTTTTTCCCCACAATATCATTTTTCAGCCAAACAAATGCTTATTTCCTGCCAGCACAGAGTCTAGATTACTCAGCTTTTATTCACACAGCTAAAGTGCTTAGTCCAATTTTTCAAAGAAGGAAATCAATACTCGATTTTTTCAGAGTGAAAAGGCTGTCCTCCTTATTCAACAATGTCATGCTTCAATTCTCATTCAGACACCTTAGGATGGTTTGCCAGAACATGTTTGCTCTTTTTCACTTTCACAGTTTAATTAGTTTTGGAACACCTTGGTCACAAGCAGCACAGAACTGTGTGATGGTATAAAGAACAAAGGGCCTCTTGTTTAGTTGCTGTCAAAACTGTACCAAGGCTTCTGCAAAGCTCCAAGTTTCACACAATACCTCCACAGATCTGAACATATGCCGGTATATGACTCCATTGCAGCTCAGTTTTTATACAAAGAGCTGTTCTCCTGCTGAAAGGTAGATTTTTGGCCCAAGGTTCAGGTTTTTGGCTTCCTCTCAGGCTTCTTACAGTCTGTAATACAGTCAAAATATCGTCAGATGGCAGTGTAGGACAAAAAGTAAAACTGACACAACTCACATGACGTTGATTGCGTTTGGATGCCATGAGGACAATTTTTAAACATATATAGCCTATATACTCATTTCTAAGCCTATGAATAATTGAAAAACATATATACAGCTAGCACTGTGTGGACAGCTGAAGTATTCATGTAGTGTGAGAGATTTTCAAAGCAAAAATCAGATGTTTTTTTTTTAGTTAAAACATTTCTATTTTTCATTTTGTCATCTGGATTTAAATTAATTTCTTATAGATTTTTTTTTCCATATTATTTTCCAAACGATTACACCTTCCCAATGTAGAAGCTGGAATTTACGAGGTACTGTCAAATGCAACATTAATTTAGCTTCCACTTTAACCAAACAAACGAGACCGGGGGATTAAGGAGTCGAAACATCCCTCTAGCGGCCAGCAGCTCCAGCGGTTGGGTGTAGCTCCACGGAGAAGAAGAGGCTGTGCTCGGATTAGGGGGTTGGGCTGCCTTTGCTTGACGGAAAACCCGCTGCCAGACATCCAGCTTGTCCTCGGCGGCGCAGTGTTGCTTTCCCGCAGCATCAGCAGCAGCGACACCGCAGCGCGGCTTCACCTGCTCCCCAGAGCTCCATCCCCTGGTCCGCACTCAGCGCTGCCGCAGACCAGAGCAGGCGGACGGACAAGGACGAACAGCTGGAAGTGAGTGGCATCACTTTTCTTTGCTAAAACGGCGGTGAGAGAATGTATAGTCTGTTTGTCCTCCAAAACCACAATCGTGCGTAAAATGTCCATGTTTTTGCATATTATCGCAAACCAGGCAGAATAATTTCTGCCTGTAAACAAATCCACAAACTGACAATATATCTGTTACTTCTGAACTTATTTCTCTGTGTTTGTTCCGGGGAGCATGAGACGTACTGTTTTTGGTTTTCAGGAGCAGCTCTTGAGGGAAATAAAGGGATACAGCAAAGCTGACGATGGTGAAACTGGGGAGTAATCTTCAGGACAAAGGGGCCAAAGCTGTGAGTGTTGAGGACGGCTTTCAGAATGTGCCCCTCATCACTCCTCTGGATGTTGGCAGCCTCCAGAGCCAAGCACCTGACAAGGTGAGACACGTACAGCCCACCAGCTCTGTGGGTTTTATCTGTGTTTGTGTATGAGGGACAGCAGAGCCGGCCTGAGGTACACGCAAACTTGGTGACATCTATGGAACTTCAGGAAAGATGCAAGTTGATGTTTACAAATAAAGTAGCTGAAACAAATAAAGCAAAAACACTGTCAGTAGAGGAGATGCTGTGGAGTTTTTCCCAATAACTTCAAAGAAAGAAAAAAAAAATCAGTCTTATTCTTCACAGAGGTGTTAAATCTGACTAAAAAAAGGAATAAAATTCTCTTAAGTTATGCACTGAAGCATATGTTCAGTGTCCCTATATGTTGTGATTTGAGTCAGCTACATGATCTTGGTTGATACATTTAAGAATGAATAGAAAGTAATTTGAGTTTTTACTTTTGTTGCATTCAACAAAGGGGGCAACACTTACAGATCAGAGCCAATCAGGAGATAATTGTCTAATTCTGACTATTATTCTGACATTTGCCTGGACATTTTCCCCCACATCATCTACCCTCTATTAATCAGCTGGTTGTCTGTACTTTGCTTTGTACCAGGAGTCTAAACCTTTGGCTAGAGAAACAAGGCGTGGAATCTGTTGAACCTTTAAATTACTGGATCTGATTTTACCCAGTCACTAACATTTGGGGTTGATGTATGCAGTGTGCCAGCTCAATTGTTAGGAAAGATATGCTATAAAGCTTAGCAGAAATTGAGTGTGAAAAGAATTTGTTTTATGACACCCTTTGTTTAAAAAGTATTTATGGAAATAACCATAATCTACAAATTATTTGTGCTCATCAACTGCAAGTACTATTATTTTTTTTCTGATTCTAATTGGATTTATTTTAGCTATTCATATTACCTACATATATGTGATTAAAACAGAATGAAGAAACACTGATTTGGACAGCTGCAGAAAGTCTGCACATGATTCCTAAAAAATATATTTTCAATATTAACAACCACTTCCTCCATTTATTGTCAGCTAAAGGTTCTCCTGTACCTTCGGCCAACAAGAAAAGCTGACAAACCAGATAATTTGCCAGGAAAACCTTGTCCACCTTGTTTGATTAGAAAAAGATCAGTGACTGGAACCAAATATGACTAACGTTAAGACACATGAACATATACAGTCAGCTAATTTAAAGTCAATTATACTGGAAAAAAAATATGTTGACAAATTTATTAAGCCAATATCATATCTTACCCATTAATGTTATTTATTTTTTAAGAAAACTCAAGAAAAAATATAACATAGTGAACGCCATTGGCTGACACGTTTTTATAGCAAAAATGTTGGAGTTTCATTATGCACTTAACAGGAAAAGGAAAAAAAAAATTCAGACCTCAAAAAGGGTGGGAAAACAAAATACAGCCAATAAAAGGATGGTTTCAAACTCTGAGGTAGCTCAACAGGAAGTGGACCTCCAAATGACATTCTGCAGGGGACCTCTTATTATTTGGGCCGGCCCAATTTGAGTGTTTATGTCAGGGAAAGCTTTATTGGATGTGCATCTGTCTGTCTGTTTCTGTTGCCATTTAAGTCGATGTTGTGGATCCAGGCCATCCTGAAACCCTCTTAACTAGAATAACCCCATCCTCCAAAGTACTTACACACACACTAACACACACGCCTATGATGTTTGATTCATTCACACATTCATTCATCTCAGCTGTCTCCCGGCTGTGTCCTTTGTTTTCCAGCTGAGATTAGGAGACAGATTTGGTGCCAGACAGCTTGTCATTTATCATCCTGACATGCCATAGTAACTCCGCCGCCGCTCGTTAATCCAGTCACCATGGCGGTGGAGCAGAGCCGATTGGTGCATCTATCTGCGGGGTTGGGACAGAGAACTGTGCTGATTGCACATTATGGAAATGAATGGAACCAGGCAATAGGCAAGCTCATTATCACTTTCAGCACATTTGGAGGCTTTATGTATGAAATGTGTTCCATGCAGCAATCACAGCTCCTTTAATTCATTTTTCCTATATTTTTACCTTTGTGTACTCATCAATTTATTCAAGAGATTTTTTTTCCAACTTGAGAAACTTTGGAAGCCTTGAGGTTGTTTGCACTCCTGAGTCAACACAGCATCTTCTCTTCATTATCTTCAGAATGTGAAGTCATCCGCAGCCGGGTGGCTTTAAATAGGAAAAAGCACTGGCATCAGATAAAAAATATGACATATTTGTCTGTTGCCCATTTTGCAGGTTTTTTGTTGCTTTACTGCGAGTTCATTCAGTGGGCAGTTGGTGTTTCCTGCTTGTAGCTTGGAATAGGGAGTCAATTTTATGTGCTTTGTGTTGGACTTCACTGCAGATTTTTAGATGGTTTCCTATATTTTGATTGGTCGTTGCTGGGGCAGCAGAGGAGGGACTTGCCCAAAGTGCCATTCATGCAGAACCTCCATCAGTGAGCATACAGACAACAGCTAGTTTAATTTGTGTTAAGACACATTTATCAGAATAATACTTTTCAGTCTTCTTTGGTGCAGGTCTTAGATAATGGCTATGTAATTTCAAATTCTTACCAATAAAGTGATTTAAATTGTATGCTGCAAAGGTATGCAAAATTCTAAATATTGAAATAACTGATTCCTGTAGAGAAAACAAACACAATTTATTTCTCATTGTGTTATGTACCTTTCTTAGCCATAAAATTATGAACTCAAAGTCAGTTTCAACTAAATCTTGCTTTTGCAGACCAAAAACCGGTCACCCTTCAAGACAATGGGCTCAGTTTTTCAGTGTTTATTGATTTTTAATTATTATTTTTTTTACTTTTAGGTTGTTCGTTGGTTGTTGTGACCCTTTTATTGACTAGAAAACATGTTGAGGTGTAAATAAATCTGTGTCGTCAGCATAACAATATAATGAGTGATCCAAAGGAAACATGGATAGTTTGATGGACAAACACAAGCTTATTTAAAAAAAAAATAAAATAAAGAAAATGGTAACAACTGTAGATGTTGACATAGATATCAATAGCATTGTTCTCATCAACATTTGAAAATAATCTAATGTTTTGCTCTTTTTTCAAAATTATTGTTTTTTTCATATTTGTCTAAATTTTAAATATTACGTAAATAACAAAATCAGACACAAAACAGAATATATTTTGATGTAAGTTAGTTATTTCGCTAAAAAATAATGCTGGATTATTATAATAAACTGTGTGCTTGAGTAACGGGTTTAATGTGCTTGCATCATTTCTACTGATCTGTAACAGCACACACACAAAGAAATGCGTAACAAAGAGAATATAAAAAAACAATTTCTACTGAGATCTCTTTGCAGAAAAAGAAGCTCTAAAACCATTTTACATGCAAAATTGTCAAATTTTTAATAAGCTGGACATCTGAAGATGGTTCTTGGTATTTAAGCGATTCTTTAATCTAACACAATCATACAGCTGCTGTTACAGCATGCATAAAGTCACTGCACGGTCTGAACCCACATTTATTCTGCTTATGGAGCCACCGTCTCTTTCCATTTCATAAACCTGTTAAATGACTTGTCCTTCAATGCTCTTACACACTTGCATTTTTACTCACAACAACAATTGCTCGCTTCCAGCAGAGTGCATGTAGGGTGCAGCCTTGTGGACACATGCAAGCGAGTGTGTGAATTGCATGTCGATCATGTCTGCAGCGACCAGTTTGTAAATGGACATCAGTCAAGCTGTCACTCATTTCCCGCTGATTAAATCGGTCCCAGCAGAACCAAGAGCAGCGAAACTGCAGCCAAAGCAGCCATCAGAACCTCAATATGCTCTATAGAAATATTCATGTTGTTTTACTGCATTTTTTTTTCTTTTAAAGATTGCACTTGTTTCCTCCTTGTGAATAAAGTTGCTGACAGATGATGCAGATATTGCATGCCATTTCCCTGCCTCACAGTAAGAAAGCTGCTGGTCCAGACTCTGCATGCTGGTGCATGTTTGTCCTTGCACTTGCATAGGACACAATGAGAGTTGGAAAGATTATTTGCCTTTAAGTTTCTTATATGTCAGCAACCTTAATTGTTAGAATTTGTGCTGCTGGCAGGGAGAGCATGGATGCGATTCAAGGCAACAATGAATTAAATCTGTAGCTATACAAATAATACAGAATGATGACTGAGGTAAGGAGGAATACAAGCAACAACACCCCCCATAATTTATTTGTTCATGACATGGACCTGGATTCAAGGCCTTCCATAAAGTCACAGCTTAAGAGACACAAAATAAGTTTTGTTAGGATTCTTCTGCAATTTAAAGTGCTGAATTAAATGTCAGAAATGGTTTACTTCCTTTTGTTTTTTGATAGGTTTGTTACACTTAAATGTTTCAACTCATTAAACTAATTTTACTGCCAGACAAACAGCCTGAGAAAATACGCAATGCAGTTTTCAAACAATGACTTTAATTTTCTAAGTAGAAAAACATCTAAACCAACCTAAGCCAGTTAGAAAAAGCACCTTAAACAAAGTGACTGGTTTTCTCACCGTTGGCTGGAACAAATTTTTGCGAATGTTACATTACTAAAGAGAAATCTTGGCCCTCTCTTCTTTTCAGAATCCTTTTATTTCAGTCACATTGGAGGTATTTTAAAGATGTACAGCTTTTATTTAGGTCATACTACAGTATTTCAATTGGATTCAAGTTTGGTCTTTTTAGGGTTCTTCAGACCATTCTTGTTATTCATTAACCATGTGAGCTTGAGAATAAAGTCACAAGCTAAAGATCAGAAAATCTCCATTAGGATTCATGGTTCCATCAGTTACAACAAGCTGCTGAGATCCTGATCAGATCATCCAGATCGTCCCACCACTATATCCAAATGAAGGATTGATGTTCTGATGCAACATCTTCCAAAAAGACTCTTTTGCCTCTTCAGTCCTCAAAATATTTTCTCAGAAGTGTAAAACATTGAGATGTTCTCGTCTCTTACAGCTTTAAACCATATAGATGATCTAAAAGGATTTTGTTTTATATGTGCTTCATTCATT